GAGGGAGGCAAACGACATCCCACTTGTATTTTTGTAGTATCCAAAATGGTATTTTGTTATTCATCTTGTGAATAAAACCCCAGGATTTTTTTTTTTTTTTCCAATTTCATAAGCATCTTATTTCGTCGATAAATTCAAAGTCAAAAACACATTTTTAACTTAATGGCTGAATAAGGCCAGTCCTAATGACAGTGATGTGCGTTCACTGCATCGAGCTCCTTCAGCAACCTCACCTTGCATTTGCATTTTTCTGGGCTGCTTGAGGAAATTGAAAAACCAGGACAAAATCTACACAAACACTCATACACACACACACACATGAACAAAATATACCAACTCCACACAGAAACAGCCTCAAGTTCTATGAAAATCAGAGCTAACGCTAACAACTGGGACTCAGGAAGCTGCTAACTTGATGCTTGAGCGCCCGCCGCTGAGTAAGAGCCCTATTTACCCATTGACTTTGTCTCTTTTTAAACATAGCTTCGCCCACCGGTGCCACTCCTGCCCTATTTTTGTAAGTCCGTGTAGCACCTTTGATCCCCTCCATCCACTCCAGAGCACCCCAGCGCACTAACAGGGTATTTGGAGGACTGTCTGTGTAAAGCCCAGTCCTAAAGACCAAAACCGCGGCGCACTGACAAACAGATGAACAGGCTCAGAGCCCAGTGTGGTGGAGCACTGTGGGACTTATTTTTACAAGCTCACTGAGAGGTTAAGTGTGAGCACCGGGCCAACACATCACCAGTAGAACTTTACGACACAAACCTTTAAATCACACAGTTTAACCAAATCTGAAACTCGTGCTTTTCCCTGTGAACAAACAGATGAGTGATGAAAGTATATATTATGCTATTGTTCCAACACTTTTTTACCGCATGTTGAACTTTAAAATAGAGCAGGTAGAAGGTGAGGAAGTCGATTTTCTGTGACTTTAAACTATAACTGCCACACTTTTATTTAAGTTGCGACCCTTAGCTTTAAGAAAAGGTCCAGTTTGCCAGGACCTTAACAAAAGAGATTTCTGCCGCCTGCTGTTTTTTTTTTCTTCAGAAAACATGAAGGGGAAATCATTAAAAATATGAAAGACTTGGACGTCCAGGTCTGAGGGCAAATAAATGTTCTGTTTTTACTCGTCTGTGCATCAAGGACTGACTCAACTTCATCGCTAAAGAAAAGAAGAAACTAGAGTGAACTACAAATGTAAAACACAAGCAACAACAATCAGCTCCCATTGTTGGGATTTTGCAACTATTTGCACTTTAAGGACAAAGGAATCACAGTTAGACATAAGGAAGTGAGCAAGAAATTGTACACGTCAACCTGGGGATACAGCTCAGCAGAAGACATGGCTGAACAAACTCTGACAAGTTTTCTTATTCAAAGACAATTTGCATAAGGAAGTGAGCAAGAAATTGTACATGTCAACCTGTCTGACTCAGGAAAACTTTGTCAGCAAAGTCTTCCCATACCCTTGTCTAGGGCAAAATATATAAATATATATTCTTTTCCTGATAAAACTGCGGCAAATCAGAACAGCCTTCGCCCTGAAGTGAAAGACATCCCCAAGAATTCAACGAAGAAGAAATCCTCTGATAGGAACTCAAGTTTTAGGAATGTGAAAATGTAAATAGAGGAGATGAGGAGACATGACTTCATGCATATTTTCTGGAATTTTTTTTTGAATTTTCACACATTAGAACCTCCAAAGATTTTACTCATTATTAATTTTCAAATAAAACTAACACATCAAATGTGATGGAGAAATGTGATGATCAACAAATGTTATTAAACATAATGTTTCCCTGGTGAGCCAATCATTAACCCGCTGTACCCAGAGTATTCCACTACTTTATTTATCTTTCTGTAAAAGCCTCTATGATGAAAAGTAGAATTTGTATTTACTTTTTTTTTCCAATTACCCCAAACACCCAGGTGAAGGGTGAGTGTGTACAAAACTTATAATTGGAAACCATCTCTCTTCTTTCATAATGAAAACCTTGGAGACAGAATCTGAATGATTCCAGTGCACACTATTCTGAATTAATATTCTAATCTAACCTTGAGTGACTTAATGCTGTGGCGGAGGTGCTAGGCGTTGGTGCGGTTGTCAGGAAATATTGTCAGCGTAAAGAAATCGCTGCTATCTCTACGAGCTGAGCTGATGAAATCAGTACATCACATCTGTTTTCACAGTCCACACAGGGTTTTTTTTTTTTCATTAACATTTCAATATTTCCTGTTATACATTGCACAAATATGGTTAAAATGAAAGTTACTTTCTTATTTTGATAAATATTGAAATCACGTTTTTAATCTTTTTTTTTTTTCTATTCCTCATGTTAGGAACATATTTTTAAACGAACAATATGTGACCAAGGCTTTCAGTTCAAAATTAAAATACAAATAAATCATGAATAAAATAAATTTTACCCAAGGACTAGGACTGGGTGATATGTAGACAAAGTAATGTATCTTTTTTTTTTTTAGGGTCTCCCTGAAAGCATACAAGCATATTAGATTCTTTCCAAAGGCAAACGCTCAGTTATAATTTGAAGCCACATGTCCAATGTGCAGTTCTACCTTCATACCATCTCAGTAATGCTAACATATACATAGCGAAAATTCCTTTCAGGCCAGTAGTGAGACATGCTATGATATCTGGTTTAGAGACAGTGTCTTACAGACCTGGAGGTGGAGAAGATGAAGATGTTGGGACCGGAATGGACTGTATTAGAAATGAGCAGATCAGAGGTACAGTTAATGGGGAGCAGTTTAGGGATGGAGTTTGAAAAGAGAAGCTCCGATGGTTTGGACATCTGTGGAGGAGAGATAATAAAGACATCGGCCAAGGGATGTTGAAATGGGAGCTGCCAGGGAAGAGGAAAGAAGGCAGGGCCTGGAGAGGATTTATGTAGCAAATGGATGTAGTAAAAAGAGAACATGGGATAGATAGTGTAACACAAAGTGAGGCAAGGGTGAAACAAAAGGAAATAATCTGCTGCGGTGACTCCTGAATGGAACAGCTGTAAGAAGAAGCTGAATTAGCAAAAAATTGTCAGTAGTCTGATATGCGTCAAATACATATTCTTCTTCGAGTGACAGAAAATCTTGGGTAAAGCAAGTTCTATCTAACGTCAACACAACTATCCATCAACTATCTATTAAAGATGTCCGATATTAACTTCTTGCGGGTAAAGCAAGTTCTATCTAACGTCAATGCAACTATCCATCAACTATCTATGATGTCCGATATTAACTTCTTGTCCATTTACGATATGCTGATATTGTCAAAACACTTAATTTCCGATTCCGATATCAACTGATCTCAATATAGCGAAGCAATGGTGGCCTGGTGGATAAGAAAAATAAGTGCTGACTGCTCACTAAGGTGATGGGTTAAAACTTTCTCAATTATTTTTCACCATGCCCCCCCTAGGGGACAGACGTTTCATCAGCCAGGGCATACATCATTTGTCAAAACCCATGCTTTCATTATAGGAGGAGAAACAAAAAAAAAAAAAAAATGCTATCATATCAACGAGATCTATATCAGGCTTAAGAAGATAGTTTTTATGCGACATTACATTCATTACCTTCTTAGCAATTGAAGCATTGGTGTTGACAGGCCGTTTTGATGAGAGAATTGTTTTCTTTTTTTTACTCATCAAAAATCACAAGGTACAATTTAATACAAAATATTATTAAATCAATTTTATACTGAATAATAGGAATTCCGTGAACATCGTTAGCTGCTGAGCAAAAGTCTGCTGAAATTAATGGACATTTCATACAGAGATGATTAAAAATGTTTTATGACAAAGGGGAGAAAAATGATAATTTAAGCAAAGCTATTTTGAGTTTAGTTATAAATAGACGTTTGCTCGGATTTTCCAAACGTTCTATTTGGGTTTTGAAGACTCTAATCAAATTCAACATAACACAGCTGAACACCTAGCAAAGACATGATGATAACACCTGTCAGTGCTATTGGAGACGCCTGAGAGGCTTTCAGGTGTTCTCGTGATAAACTCAGGCAACTGTAAAAATGATGTCATCTGTCTTAGAATTTAACTATTCAATTAAAAAATGAACTGCTTATGGGTACCTCTTCACATCACCTTCACCTAACAGTACTTAATTTACTAGACAGAATAGTCTAGCTGGTTAATCCAATATAGCAGTTTCAAATTAGGGGCGCTCTCGACTGAGAAAAACATGCATTATTCTATGAGTATTGAAATCAACCATCATTCACAGTCCAAGGCAGAATTCCAGAGAGGTCAAATAATACTGCATGGAGGTCAACTCATTTCTGATTTCATCAAAAATGTGCTTTTAGCCAATGTACAAACCCCAGAAATTCATGGTAATCCAAACACACAACCAACACTAAAACACTGAGTCAACATCAGTAGAAATTCATGGTAATCCAAACACACAAAAACACTGAGTCAACATCAGCGTCACTGATATGAACCAGAGACAGACATGAACATTCAATAACTGGAAATCTCCTCACATCAGGCCAGGACTCTTCCAGTCAAGTGAAACCAGTGGCTTCCCAACCGTTTTTGGCTCGTGACCCCAGAGACATTTTAGTAGCAGAGAACAATAATTACTTAAAATTTTTTTTTTTTTTTAAACAATTACTAGACATTTTTGGTGACCCCAATTCAATTCCATGTGCCCCCACATGGGGTCGCGACCCCTAGGGTAAAAAACACTGAGTTAAACCAAACAACTGCCCTGACGTCTGTATTTATTTCAGTCAATTTACCCCAAATTAGACGAGTTCCCTGCCTACATCTTTTATCAGACACTTCAGTTCTCATAGCAAAGACTGACATCAGCTGCGATCACACTCACAAACACACCCTGTCCTTTGAAGGCTGATTGGTGATACTTCTTGAAGTACCAATCAAAGACTTCATTTACCTTTAGAGAGACACAGACAGACGAAGAAGACGAAGATGAATTAGGGGTGTAAATAGACAGACCTGTAAACCAGTGCGTCATCCCCAGAGCTGTTGTACTGGATCTGGAACATCCTGACTCCTGTTATTGGTGTCTGACTGCTCCATCTAATGAGGGCAGAGTCTCCCGTCAGTTCCACCAACGAGACTTTTCGCTCCCCGGCCCCTCTTGTCTCGTTGTTGGGCAGCGCGGCTTTAGAGGACGTTAGAATATCAGACGGAGCAGGTTCCGAGGATGGATCTCTGCTGCGACTCGTGCTATTTGCGAGATGGGGCATTGCCGTGACAACCAGCTCCACCCTCCCTGTGGATTCGCCAGCTGCGTTGGAGGCGATGCAAGTGAAGTTTCCTGAATCCTTAAGTGATGTCACATTGATCTCCAGGCTCCCATTAGGGAAAACTAAAGTCCTAAAACGAATGGATATGGAGGAAAAAAAAACATTATTAAAAGGTGGAAAGAAAAAAGAGAGGCTGTCCGGTTGCCAAGGCCTTGTGCGAGGACTAACCTTTCTTTTTAAATCAAACTTAAATCAAAAGTAATTTCCATCTGCTAACATAAGCTTTATTTCTTTGGTTTCTCATCTGACAACCTCTGATCGTTGAGTCCCAGGGAACTCAACCTTCAACCTGATGCCTGTAGAAGCTGTTGCTAATTTCAATTTCTATTACCAGCATCCATCCAGTCTTTTATGCCAAGTCAAAGAAATTGTTTCCAGCCTGCGGTTTTGTTATACTGGCTGACAACCATCACCCAGGAATGTCAGAATTAAACAAAGAGCTATTTCTCCAAAAATGTACCGTTACATTTGAATATCACCTCGAATATGCCAGCAGAAGGGATGGATGTTTAAAAAGACGGCGTTTAAAAGGTGGCATCTGATGATCTAGGTTTTTGTAGTTGTTGCCTAAGGTGCAATCTATTTTTTTGCCAGCTAAACTCTACATTTAGCGTATGTATTTGAAGGATCCGATTTTTTTAAGTCAATAACATTCATATTGTTATCATACTTGAACCGGCCCACTAGGGTGTTCGATGCGGCCGGCTTGATGAATTTTTGAAAATAAAATAATACCCAAACACTTCATGTTCACGGTATGTTTTTTCTAAAATATTATTTCATTATGAATAAATAATAATAATACATATCTAATATACTTGAACTTCTTTGCATAAAAATTAAGGGGAAAAACATGGACTTATTGTAATTTGTAATTTATTATGGTGTGATTAGGGGAAAAACATGGACTTATTGTCATTTGTAATTTATTATGGTGTGATTGTACTGGTCCAGGCCACTTGACATCTGATCGGGCTGTATGTGGCCCCTGAACCATCCCCGGCTTTAGAGGTACTAGGGGTAGATATAATTTTGGGAGACTCTTCCCAATTACAGACGAGACTAGATAATTAAAACATTAGACAGATGTTACAGGGTTTTTTTTAGTGCATGTTAAAACATCTTTTACCTGTCAAGATCTGGGCTGCATTTGTTTTTTACTTTTTTTTCTTAAACACAAAAAATCATGTTAAAACATCTTTTACCTGTCAAGGTCTGGGCTGCATTTGTTTTTTACTTTATTTTCTTTTTTTTTAAATCACAAAAAAAATTTTTTTACATCAGAGGAATCATCGAAACCTGAAAGGAACCTGATTTCAGGCCTCAGACAGGGCGGAGAAGCAGGATGTGACCTGGTGTGAGAAACATTTCAAGGAATTCTCTGACAGAAACTAAAGTTGCAGAAGTATTAAGAGCTATCAATGTGTGAAGTAGTACAGAGAAAAACACTTTTCTTAAATCTTTCTTAGAACTTTTGGACTCCTGAAAATCAATCAAGACTACACTTTTTAGAAGCTGCATTAGTTTTGGTAGAGTTGTGGTTATATTAGAGTTATATTCCTGTAAATATGCTGTAATGTCATTGTAACTAATGCAAACAGGTGACCACTGCATTACCTGGTGCCGTTGGATATAAGGCGCCCCTCGGGGCTGATCCAGTGAACTTCAGGCTCTGGATCTCCGTTAGCTTTACATTTCAGGCTGGCTGGTTGACCTTCCATTGCCACAGTGTGAGGCGACTTCCGGGTCAGAACTGGTGGGTCACAGATAAACTCCTAAAAGGAATGGAGAGAATCATCAGAACCATTCACTCATTGAAATCTGGCAGTGACACTGGTGTAAAAAATCAACATCACCTCTTCAGGTATCGTCCAGAAGTATTTGGCACTGAGGTCAGGGGGCGAGGCGCAGGTCTCCAGGTCATCTTCTCTTGTGAGCCTCCTCAACCACAGAAGCTCACAGTTACAGTGGAGAGGGTTCCCACCGAAGCTCAGCACCAGCGATGACAGAGGAGAGCCTTTAGACTTGGCGTAAACTGGAATTCTCAGAAATAACGGATCAGGGGGGATTTTCTTCAGTTTGTTGGATGTCATATCTAACCTGAAAATGGGAGAAGATAAAGGGACAGTAAAAAATTGGGTCATTTTGACCCATGTTGTGCATCACAGGGTTGAAAATCATCCCAGGTTTCCTCTGCTGTTACCTTGCCAATTTGTGGAGGTTGGTGAACACTCCTTGGGGAACGTTTTCTATGAGGTTATGGTCCATATTTAAGGTGTTGACGTTAGTGAGGCGGCCAATCGTGTCCCAGGGAACCTGAGCGAGGTTGTTGTAACTGAGGTCCAGGTCCTCCAGCGTTGACAGAAAGTCATCGAAGGCATTAGGAGAAATGTTGTGGAGCTGGTTGTTAGCCAGTATCAGGTGGCGAAGGTTGGTCAGGCCTTTGAAATGGTCATCCTGGTTAAAACGTCAAAACGAGATCTTTTTTTTAAGACATCTTTCTTAAAGGGATTTTAACTAGATTTATGTCAGTTTACATTTAAGGATGTTTTCCATATAAGGTCATTGCCCTTTTGACTGAAACCATTCAGTTCAATGACTAATTCTCAGTACCTTATATGCAATGTTAACCCTAACATTTCTAAAGGAGGTTTTCATAGAGTATTACAGTTTCTTTTTTTTTTTTGACATCACAATAAAATTCTTGTCAGTATTTTTAGCACTGAAAATCCATTCGGTTGCGTATATACTCACTGACTAGAATTCTTAGATATTTATGGACATTTTTTTTTTAAATTTTCTTAAAAGTCATGGTATGTTTTTTGTTTGTTTTTTTAGTTAAAAAAAGAATTCTTAGATATTTATGGACATTTTCTTTTTTTTTTCAATTTTCTTAAAAGTCACGGTATGTTTTTTGTTTGTATTTTTTATAAGATTTGATATCTTGTTTTTGCATAGATTTTTGTTGAGCTGTGTTGTTTTATTTAGTGAGGTTTTTCAACCATCCAAAAGGCATGAGGAAAAAAAAATCAAACCAAAATTTAAAATAAATTATTGAAGCTTATCAACAGGTGAAGCCCCAGTTGATTTAATGTGCTAGTCTAGCAAAGCAAAGACAAAGGTTGTGACAAAGAGGAGCCATCTAAAAGAAACACATTTTGACTAGAATGGGAATTAATGGCTCTGTTTTTTCCCCCTTAATTTGTGTTTGTTTTTTTTCATTTGTCTTCATTCCGATAATTTCAACCACTGATCTCACCTTTATCACAGTCAATCGATTGGAGTCCAGGTGCAGAGCTCTGAGTCGTCTCAGGTCACTGAAAGCTGAAGGCAGTATCTGACTGATGGTGTTTCTGGACAACGTTAAATGAAGAAGGCTGGTCATGTTGGCAAAGTCCTTTCTCCTCACGGCTGGCAAAAACACAAAAGAAGAATTGAGAGAGAGAGAAACGTCACCAGGGACAGTGTGTGTTTGCATAGTTTTGACTTGTTTACACCTGCAGACGGTCCAAACGGTGTGGTACTGTCAACAGCAGAGGTTGTGTTGTTGTTGTTGTTACATTAGCAGAGGAGTGTGTCTGGACCTAAAATTGACTTTGACGTGGGTAATATGAGTTAATAAAGCTACGCCCTGGGACACGGCCGAACATTTTCCGGGGGCCAGATGCAGCCCGTTCAGCTTTTTAATCCAGCAATTATTATACTTCTGCCTTTTTCCTGCAATACTCACATTTTCCCAATAGATGGCATAGAAGATGATAAAATAAGTTTAGCCTTTATGCATGACTTTTACATGTCATTGATCTTAGTTCAGACGAACGCTCCATCTATCTGCTCCTGACCCAGCCCCCCTGTTCAATTTGTGGCCCACGAATCAAAAAGTTCCGTCCACGCCTGATCTACACACTGACTGCTACATACCTGTGATGAAGTTCTCCTGAAGCCGTAGCTCCACCGTGCGCCTGTCAATGGCTGCAGGGACAAACAGAAGCCCCGTCTTGGAGCAGAGGATGGCGAGTGACGGAGAGAGGCTCTGGCACATGCAGCGTTTCGGACACGGTTGTCCCTTACACGCCGCTGCCAGCAACAGCAGAGACAGCCACAGCCGTTCCATCATCCTCCAATGGAAACCGGTGAGCTGGGAGACAGAGCGGACACAAGTCAGCGGCGAATTTAAGTGAACACAAAGACGGTGTCAGTCAAGGAGAGGCAACCGTGGAGAGGTCGGAGGTCAGGATGAACCCGTTACTCAATCTCTGGGGTTAATGTCTCTTTTATTCAGACCCAGATGACTACAAGTCCTTTCTTTTCAACAATTTGTAATAAGGTCTTGACACAGTGTGGAAACTGAGACGGACATCGCAGCAGCTGAATTCAATTTTGCAGTGGTCGCGCACAAGACTTTAATGAGAAATTCTTACAAAAACACGGATAAAGTTGCGCTTTAATGAGAAATTCTTACAAAAACACAGATAAAGTTGCCATTAAGGTTTGTTGTATGCAGTCTTTCTTTAAACTGCACTGTTTGTGCCTGCCCTTATTTGTACTGTGTCTGTACAACCATTGTCTGTAGTGATTAATGAATGTGTAGCTCTGTTTGTTGTTCGTATTTTCTTTGTTAATGTTAATCAGTGAAACCTGTGTAATACACATTCGCACTAAAACATACCATTTAGGCAATATTGTGTTTTGCTATTGAAATATGCTACATGCTATGCTACGTATACAGTGTAAAGAATGATTAAAATGTTGATTTTTATTTGAATCATTTTGCGAAACATTCAAAAGAGAGTCTTCAAATTCGTGTGTTTGATCGTTGACTCAGGAGACTGTTAGGCGAAAAGAGTTAAAAATGCCGACGAAGACAAGTTTTCTTATTAATCCAGAGATGAATTAACACTGCAGTAAAAAAAAGTTTACTGTACGAGCTGTTAAATATTCAGAAACTTTAAGACATTTTTGGAGTAAAACCAAGGTGCCCAACGAGGGTCACTAAGTTCCTACAAACACCCCTGATGCTAATTCAACTTTACATATGAGGTGTATTAAAAACTCCTCTTCCTCGTACTCTCTGAATTCATCAGTCCAATAATATCTAGGAAATATACTAGGTATTTACCAAATGACGCTGGTTATTTTTTTAGAAGAATTTCCTTTTGTAAGTTATCACAGAGTGAGTCTCAGGAGTCCACTTAAAATAGATCTTCTGTCATTGGATACTTGGGGTTTTCCAACCTTGCAAATATTAAAACAATGTTATGTACACGGAGGCAAAAAATGTTCTTTATCACATTATCACAAGTCTCCTTTTTTATCTTCAATTATGACCGCCGATGTTATCCCCATCTGTCTACAGCCTTCTATATCCAACGCTTTTGTGTCCACACTCAGGAGTTAATCTTTTAAACGTTTAGAAACACAATATCTCAGTAGTTATTTCTCACATTGGCTCTTGGTGACTCCAAACACTTATTTTTTAATCGTTCAGTTTCTCATCAGACATTTCCTTTCTGTCCTTTAAATCTTCTATCGTATTTACATGACATTTCCTTTCTGTCCTTTAAATCTTTTATCATATTTTGAACTTTCCAACAGAAGATGAAGAGAAGAATTACTTTCTACTTCCTACTATTTATTTTCTTTAGTTTTTCTTATCATATCTCTCTGTAGACAGTCTTAGGCATAAATTATATTTTCACGTTTGCTTTGCAGCAGAAAGAAATAATCCTATAATACTGTCTATTTAAAAAATGTGTACATGAATAAAAAATAATTATTGATATTTTTTTCGAAATGTATCTGCTCCTTGTCTTCAAACATAAACATTAAAATAATGAAACGTAGTCTGTCTACGTTCGGCATTATTCCACATTGTATTCTGCACAAGGTAAAATTGTACAGTTAAATTATAATAAGTCGTTTCCAGCAGAAAAACTAGAGACATTTAAACGTTACACCCTGGGCATGTTGTTTTATTTCTCCAGAGGGGACAATTCTCAACAAACAAGGCTTCAAACTATTTGCTTTATCCTAAAAACAACTTTGTTCACTGACCATAACAACGCTCTGTTTAGATCCCAGACAACCCCTCGTGAAACAAGGGAGCCTGAGTACAGGAGGTCCTCGACTTACGTCGGGGTTCCGTTCAGTTCTGATGCAACTCGATTGTGCATAAGTACCTGTGTCACTCACCTACGCTAAAACTGTGCTAACATCGTAATGGAGGACATAAAAACCATCAGAAGAGCCATAATGAAGGGCAGAAAGTTCCCAAATAAATAAAAAACAGAAACATAAGAAAGCAAATGTAGTACAAGCCAATGGATGGTATACAACCAACATGTGTAAACAAAGCTGTCATCAGCATATAGCTCCACTCACCAACTAGTTTTCAGAGGAACTAGAACTTTCTTAATACATTTATGGGATATGGTGACATAGGGTGAGGACGTCATGAACCCTCTGTACTGTTGGGTTTACAATGTCAGCGTAAACCCAGCAGTACATCAGCAGACTGCAGAACTGTTCTTCCTTTGGCAGAAGGAGCTCAGTCTCAAGCACAGACTGGATGCCCTTCCATTTAAATGGATGCTCTTCAGCCTGAATTGAGATCTTTGTTTCACAAAGTCAGCTCAAAAAAAAAAAAAAAACCTTTGACTTCTTTGCAAAGACAACTGCCTTCATTATATAATGTTTAAACCAAACACCATGGCAACGTTTAAAGCTGTCACAATAACGTGTTGGAAAAAAGAGAAAAATAAATACATTAGGTTGATGTAGACAATGTGGCTGCAGCACATAAAAAAGCTGCTTATGAAAGACAACACAGACCAAAACCACAGGGTTTCTGTGTTTTGTTTTTGTTGGGTTTTTTTTTCTTATTATTTCCACAGAAAATAGAAAACAGCAAGCGCACAAGCAATTAGGCTCAGTGAAAGGGGAAACGGGGAAGTTTGGCAGAAAAAGAACGATGGGAAGATCGAGAAGCGAATAATAAAATAGCGGGCAGAGTGCCCATGAAGTCAAATATAAATCACCGCACATGAGAAAATACTCAGGGCGTATCGTCAACTTTATCTAAATTAAGTTGCTTCTGACAGTTTAGCCTGCAAACCTTGATAAGCGAAACCATTTGAGAAACGACTCGATTCTCTGTTAACCGGCGACTTGACCCCACTCGCTCTGCTAATGCCTCCCCACCCCCGGTATTATACATATCATTTTTCAAGATCGTATCTAAAGTTCCTGTAAGATTACACCCTGCGACCCCACTTTGGCTACGTCTGTTTTTTATGTAACCTCTGTGGAATAAAATGTCTTTCTTAATTGCAGAATGAAAGGTTTGTTTAATGACAAACTGCCGAAACCCAAAGTCTTTAATAATTTAAAAAGCACTCTATACTTCGACTCTGCGACTTCTGATCTCAAAAACCAAAGTGTTCATAAATAATTATAAATACATGGTCATTCTGGAGAATCTTTAAGATCCAGTTGAGTTTCATTTCTTTCGCTATAAATTTTCTTAAGTTAAGTTTTGCTTGACTTACACTATTCACACAATTTAAACTGTATATCAGTGTACCTAGTAGTAATGTATTAGTGTACTGTATATAAGCACAGTATAGAGTAATGTATTAGTGTACTGTATATAAGTATATACACAGTATATATTTCAATGTTGTAGATTACAATTTTGCAGTGAATCATATGTTCACTTTGATTTTTTATATCTTTGATTTCAAAGAATATCTTTTTTTCAAACCTTTTAATCCTTTGTGTTGTTCTTGTTTTAGTTTGATTCTGGTTCCATCTCCATCCATATTTATATATATGTGTGTGTGTGTGTGTGTGTGTGTGTATTCAAATATGACAAACAGCGCATAATCAAAGATTCTTCACACTGGATTTTGCAGGTAATTCACCCGTGAGGTTTTTGCACCCAGTACAAAAATTGATGGGCTTCACACATGATGAGAACGTGCATGTGTGTGTCTGTTGTGGCGCATGTGTGTGCCCCGCCTCAACTCGTAGACTCGGCTGCACCTCAGAATGAAGATGGATCACCTTGTCAGGGTTCTCGGTGAACCACTGCAGTGTCCTGTGTATAATTTAGTGTACCCACAGTAAACCCTGTCAGCATGTAGGTCCGTGTGTGTCCTCATCACATTCGTCTCCATGAGTTAGAGGTGGAACATCTGACAGTTTTACATTGGCATGCTCTTCATCTTTTTATTTTTTTATTTTTATGTAAATGGGTCAGAACAGATTGTGAAATTTTACGACATGGAACGGCTCTGCTGATTCGTTAATTACATACACGTTGGTGTGACACCGCCTGGTCATACACATTAGGTTAAATGGAAGTTGATGATGTGTTAAGAATTTTGAAATACTCAACTCTTCTCCGCTGATGGTTACCAACCTAGGAATCAGTGGTGGGAAGTAATGAGGTACATTTACTCTATTACATTTACTTGAGTAAGTTTTTCAAAATACAAAAAAAGTTACTTTTATCAGAAATACTGGATAAAGATTTAGCTGTCCAGTAGCCAGTTCTCTATTCATCCATGATCCAGTGTCTCTACTTTTATTTTGTCAGAGAGAGAATTCAGCCCGAGGTTCTACCGCGTGACTGTGTTTAACCAATAAAACGTTTCCCTTGCCGTGCAGTCTTGTCACGTGACCATACTTAATCTAGCGACAAGCAGCTACTGCGGTCGATAGCATGATCAGTTTACAAACAGTTGTTCATCATGCGGTGTCTTTTTTGTCTAACCTGAGGAAAAATGTTATGATAAATTTGACCTAAAATCATTATTTTTTAAATATTTATTTTTCATGTGCTCTTTTATTTCATTGACATTTATTTTTAGGATGAACTCTCCTCTCTGACAGTTGTTACATCATGCGGTGTCTTTTTTGTCTAACCTGAGGAAAAATGTTATGATAAATTTGACCTAAAATCATTATTTTTTAAATATTTATTTTTCATGTGCTCTTTTATTTCATTGACATTTATTTTTAGGATGAACTCTCCTCTCTGTTGATTGAATGCTCATTAAAAAATAAATCAGATGTTTTGAACAGTTACTCAATACTTGAGTAGTTTCTTCACCAAGTACTTTTTTACTCTTACTCAAGTAATTTTTTGAGTGACTACTTTTTACTTTTTGAGTAATTTTATTCTGAAGTAACAGTACTTTTACTTGAATACAATTTTTGGCTACTCTACCCACCTCTGCTAGGAATGCAGTAACATTTTTGTCGCAAAAGTGATATGACTGGAATGAGTTAAATTAGTAAAACTGAAGTTTATTTTGTCACTGTGCCCCACTGCAGCCCGGTACCTGTCCCTGAACCAGGTGTTAGTGACC